AAACCCTAAGCCCTAAACCCTAAATTTCGGAAGCGATCGACCCCGCAGTCACCAGCTTGGGGGGAGGGGGGGGGGGGAAGGCCTGCCCTGTCACCCAACACAGCCCACGCGGTGGAAGAAGCTTCCGCCCCTGCCCTCTCTTGCGAAGGATCTTCGCATGGTGAGCCCGTAGGTCGGAGACGCGTGGTGTAGGGTTTAGGGTTTAGGGTTGAGGGTTTAGGGTTTAGGGTTTGAGGTTTAGGGTTTAGGGTTTAGGGTTTAGGGTTTAATTAGGGTTTAGGGTTTAGGGTTTTGGGTTTTGGGTTTACGGCTTCGGGTTTAGGGTTTAGGGTTTAGGGTTTAGGGTTTAGGGTTTAGGGTGTAAGGTTTAGGGTTTAGGGTTTAGGGTGTAGGGTTAGGGTGTAGGGTTAGGGCTTGAGGCACGCGCTACCCCAGGCTTCAGCAAACCGAGTGAAGGGTTGCAAGCACAGCACTTCACCGTCACAAAACATTTGGCAATGCTTGATTATGACAATATACTAGATATTAACACTACTGATGTCAATACTGACAACAGCCTAGGTTTCGCTTAGGGCCAAGGGATATGGACATGTGGGTCTGTGATTTCTGGAGTGCGGCGAGCAACCCATGACATGTGTCGATTTGCCATCCGTACAGGTACTAAAGGGGTTTCCGACATTAGGGGACCCCCTAAAATGGACCCCCAAATCGTAAGATTCCCTTACAATATGGACCCCAATAAGGTACCCCTAATCACGTAAACCCGCAAGCAAATACGCATACATGCAGGTTCCCCAAGCAACCTAGGGTTCAGGGTTTAGGGTTCAGGGTTTCGGGTTTAGGGTTAGGGTTTAGGGTTTAGGGTTTAGGGTTTAGGGTTTAGGGTTTAGGGTTTAGGGTTTAGGGTTTAGGGTTTAGGGTTTAGGGTTTAGGGTTTAGGGTTTAGGGTTTAGGGTTTAGGGTTTAGGGGTTAAGGTTTAGGGTTTAGGGTTTAAGGATTAGGGTTTGGGGTTTAGGGTTTAGGGTTTAGGGTTTAAGGTTTAGGGTTTAGGGTTTAGGGTTTAGGGTTTAGGGTTCAGGGTTTAGGGTTTAGGGTTTAAGGTTAAGGGTTTAGGGTGTGTTACGTTCTGGGTTGCTCGCTGGGCTCCGGGGCCTCACCTTATTTTTCTAACCGGCCCCTCTGCCCGGGTCGCTCGCAACATCGCGTGGCGGTAAGCCCACCCCAAGCAACCCGGCATATTTATTTTTAGGGTTTAGTTCCTAAAGTCTGCTTTTGCTTTTTCCAGCGGGGGCATGCTGTGCCCCTGCGCGCGCTGCCTCGGCACCGTCCGGAATTGAGCCTCGCGGGGCAGGGCTGCAAAGAGGTGAAGTTATGGCAAACGCTGCCCCTATGTTTTTGCCCTCCCTTGACACCAAAACTAGGTGTGAAAAGGTCGCGGGGGTAGCCCTTCATCATGAAAATCGGGACACGCTTGTTTGAAGGCGTTTGGCATCCCGCGTAAGGCGTCTGGCATGTGTCTCACAGATTGGTTTGGGTTACCGTAGAAGGGTAGCTCTTCAGCAGGAAAATCGGGACTTGAAGGTGTTTGGCATCCCGCATCTGCCATCACGGAAGGCGTCTGGCATGTGTCTCACAGATTGGTTTGGGTTACCGTAGGGGTACCGCTGGTCGTCGACCGGGCCAGCGTCCCGACGTGCTTATGTGAGGGCACTTGGCGTCCCTCGTCCGATCCTCGTTTGCCGCACGGAAACCATCGACACAAAGCAATTTGGGTTACCGAAGGTGTAGCGCTGCCCCTCGACCGGGCCAGCGTCCCGATACGACTCTCCCTTGACGAAGACTAGGCTGTGAAAAGGCTGGAGGCGAGCTTGGACGACAAAACTGAAGCGAAGCTTTCGAGGCTCCTGGGAAGCGTCCAGGGTCTCGCATGAAGGTTTCATGGTTTCTGGAGGCTACCAGAAGCTTTTGTGAGGTCCTGCTAGGGGTTCAGGGAACCCACAAATTCCAGAAACGAGAGGCCTCCCAGAACCATTGATTTTAGTTGTCATTGTGGGTGCAGGCCAATCCTGGGGCCCCGCTTCCTTGTGAACTAAAAGGAAGCTTTTTTTGCAGGAGCTCGAGGCTCAGAAATGGTCTCCGGCAGAAAAAGTTCCCAAAACCATCGATTTTGGTCCGGAGGTCTGTGAGAAGCCGGTCTGGGTGAAGCCCAAAAAGGCTTTGAAATGGTCAGGGGAAAGGGCTCAGAAATGAGCCGGGAGGAGCCAGAAAAGCTCAGAAATGGTCTGGGAGGAACCAGAAAGGTCAGAAGCTCAAAAAGGCAAAAAAGCTCAGAAATGGTCTGAGAGGAGGCCAAACAACTCAGACATGGTCTGGCGAAACCTCAAACAGGCTCCAAAAAAGCTCAGCAATGGTCTGGGAGAAGGCCTCCCAGAACCATTGATTTCAGCACCAAAAATCGCTACCAAAAATCGCATTCTCATTGTGGGTCCAGGCGAATCCTGGGGTCTCCCCCATTTGGGGGGCTTCCTTGTGAACGAAAAAGAAGCTTTTGGCTTCAGAAATAGTCTGGAAAAAGGCTCAGAAATGGCCCGGGCAGGGCCCAACAAAAGCTCAGGAACAAGCCCAAAAAGGCTCAGGCATGGTCCGGGGGAGCCGGAGAAGCGCTCCATTCCAGAAACGAGATGCCCTACCAGAAACATCAATTCCAGTACCAAAAAATCGCATTTTCATTGCGTGTCCAGGCCAATCCTGGGGTCCCCCCCATTGGGTCTGGGAGAAAATGGTCCGAAAGATTGTAAGCTCCTTTTTGGTCTTGCAGAAGCCCAAAAAAGCTCAGAAATGGTCTGGTGAAAGCCCAAAAAAGCTCAGCAATGGTCTGGGAGAAGCCCGAAAAGGCTCAGAGAGAGGGTCTGCGGAAAGCCCAAAAAAGCTCAGAAATGGTCTCCAAAAAGGCTCAGAAATGGTCTGGGCCAAGCCGAAAAAAGCTCAGAAATTATCTGGGAGGAGCCGGGGGGGGTGGGGGGGCAAGGTTGCACGAGCAATTGTCTTGGGTTTCGGGTCTTTACCTTTGACACTCAAAGGCTCGACCGCCTTGACGGCCAGTGTGGGCCTTGCCTTGCCTTGGAGCGTCCAGCAGCCCCAGCTTTACCTGGGCTGCACGTTCAGTGCTCTGGCTCGCGAAGCTCGGACAGCTTCGGGCTCTCAAGTGTTGGTAGCGAGCCCTCAGCAGGACTTTAGGGTTTAGGGTTTAGGGTTTAGGGTTTAGGGTTTGGAGTTTAGGGTTTAGGGTTTAGGGTTCAGGGTTCAGGGTTTAGGGTGTGTCAGGGGAGGGCGCGCGCTCGGGTGTGAAACACCCCGGGCCGCGCGCTCGCGTTGCCCGTCAACCCACCCCGGCCACCCAAACTATACTCTATTAGGGTTTAGGGTTTATGGAATTTATTTTCTTGTGCCCTGATGCTTGCTTTGATGTTTTTAAAGTTGCGCTGCTGGGGTTCGGGGTAGCCTCGGCCCTTTTCGGGCCTTCGGCGTGTGAGGGCCCGTAGAGGCCCTTATTTATTTGAAGCCGTAGAGGCTTTATTCATTTGAAGGTCGGGGAACCTATTAGTTTTTTTTCGCCAATGAGTATTTCAATCGCTAGGGTTTAAGCTGGGGTTCGGGGTAGCCTCGGCCCTTTTCGGGCCTTCGGCACGTTAGGGCCTTCGGCACGTTAGGGCCCGTAAAGGCCCTTTATTTGCTTGAAGGCCTTCGCAGGGTTTTGCGGTGTTAGGGTTTACGCTGGGGTTCGGGGTAGCCTCGGCCCTTTTCGGGCCTTCGGCACGTCAGGGCCCGTAGAGGCCCTTGCTGATTTGGGGGCTTCCTGGGGCTTTCCTGGTCCTTTTCGGGTGAAATGGAGGGGTGCCCAAAAACCATCGATTTCAGTACCAAAAAAACAACATTTTTCATTGCGGGCAGGGGTGCCTAAAACCATCGTTTTCAATATTAAAAATCGCATTTTTCATTGCGGGCACGGACAAATCTTGCGGTCCCCCTTCTTTTAGGGGGCCTTTTGAAGCTTTTGAAGCCTTTTGGTGGCTCTTGGCGCCTCTTGGGGGCTTCCTGGGCTTTTGTGGCGCTTCTGGTGTAAAATGGAGGGGTGCGCAAAACCATTGATTCCAGTATAAAAAAAAAACATGTTCCTTTGGCGCGGGGGCCTTCCTCTAGCCCCGACCCTTTTTTGGCGGAGCGTTGACCTTGGCGGGGGGGCTTGGCCCGAGCCCTTTCACCGGAACTTGGCGCGTTCTTGGCCGGAAGGGTGCCGGCCATCCCTTAGCCGAGTACAGACGTTGTCGTAAAAAAGGCCGATGTCCGTTGGCCTGTCCAGGACAGACGGTGAGTCTCACCTTTTCCGTTTCTCTTTTCGCTTGGGCGCTCGGGCTGTAAGGCCCTCGGCCGAGCGTTCGGGGTCTGTCGCTCGACGAAAGCGACCCCTCACTTAGTTTAGGGTTTAGGGTTTAGGGTTTAGGGTTTAGGGTTTAGGGTTTAGGGTTTAGGGTTTAGGGTTTAGGGTTTAGGGTTTAGGGTCTAGGGTTTAGGGTTTAGGGTTTAGGGTTTAGGGTTTAGGGTTTAGGGTTTAGGGTTTAGGGTTTAGGGTTTAGGGTTTAGGGTTTAGGGTTTAGGGTTTAGGACTCAGCATGCTCCAAGTTCAGGGCCCAACTTAAACGAAATCCATTGCAGGGCGCGGAAATGCTCGTGGGCAAAGAAGCAAAAAGTTGGGGAGTCACCCAGAGAGCCCAGTACCCTAAACCCTAAACCCTAAACCCTAAACCCTAAACCCTAAACCCTAAACCCTAAACTCTAAACTCTAAACCCTAAACCCTAAACCCTAAACCCTAAACCCCAACCCTGACAGACTGTGGCGACTCTGTGGGGAACAGAACACAGCTTTAAAGAATTGCGGGTCGAGCCCAGGTCTCTCTTCTCTCGCACGGAAGCTTCAATCAAGCTCCCTCGGCTTCAAGCC